AGCCACAGGTGGAGGTGTGAAACTTCCTTAATACAGGACCAGTTCACACAGGCATCTTTGCCAAGTTAACCTATCTGCCATCTCTTGAGGCATGCACTGTGAGGCCGGCCTCTGCGCCAACAGGAAGAGATTGCAGGAAAAGTTCTCAGCTTAGCACAGGGGTTGCCAAAAGCTTATGCCCTTTCCAAATTTCTTAACCCACCTCTGGTCATCCCTGTGCGAATCAAAGGTGTGAAGCTACGTGCTTCCCAATTCCTTTTTGCTTTCTGATTTCCAAAGGGAAAGGGTGCTAACACCGGGGGTACAGAAGGCCTCAGAGTGGATAACTTGATTTCCACGATAGAGATGACAACGATCCAGTTCAATAATTCAATCTGCCAAGATCAGGCTCAGCAGGCCACACAGCGTCCTCGCCGGCACACTCCTCACGCCTGTCCCTCTCTGTGTCCAGCCAACCATGGCTTCCAAGTGTGCGGCCCACGGACGCCCACAGCTCCATCACAACACACCAACGCTTGGAACGCCAAGTGCACAGAGCTGGAGGAACTTGGCTCTAACTAATCTTAACAAATACAACCCCTCCCCACATCTCCCAAGTACTTGAAAGCACCCGGCCCCCCTCCGTGTCCCCAGGAGACAAGAGTTTGAAAGACTCACGTGCCTGCTTAGTATTAGAAAAGAGCAATTTTCATCACCAGCTTGACTGAAGTTGGTGAATACCGGCTCCTAGGAACTGGCAGGTGATCAGCATTTACTTCATGAAGGGTGGTGAGAACATACTGTCAGGAGAGAGCAGGCCATGTTTGGTCAAGTGGAGGGGCAGGGAAAAAGAGGAAGGCCCTCATGAGATGGGTTGGCCTTGTGGCTGCAACAGTGGCTCAGGCACTGGGACACTTGTGAGGATGGTGCAGGGCTGGGCAGTGGTTCTCTCTGCTGTGTATGAAGTCACTGTGGGTCAGAACCACCACCTCTATGGCACCTAACACCACCACTGCCGCCTCCGCTGCCCACCTGCTGCGGCATAATATACACTTTCAGCACACCTATCTTGGAAAGAAGTAAGACCGAGACAGGAAATAAAAACTTATCTATAAAATATGTGTGTGTGAAAGACATACGGGCCCCTACCTCTCCCCCTTTTCTGTCAACAGCGTGCCTGACACAGGACCAAACTCGGCCTCGAGGAACAAAACTGCACCCAGGACTGAGCTTTCCTGCAGCGCGTGATCACGTTAGCTTTTAAATAAGCAGTTTAAAAAGGGGGGGGGGGTGTTAATAAAATATTGGAACCACGTGCTATTTAGAAAAAAAATATTAAAATTTGACTTCTAACTCCTTTCTACTCGCACCATAGACAAAGATCTAAATATAAAAAGTTAAATTATAAAAATACTAAGAAACTCACAGTCAATGTTATTGAGTCGATTCTGGCTCAAAGCAACCCCATAAACAGAGTAGTAGTACTGGCCCTGGGTGTTTCCAAGACTGTAAATCTTCACAGAAGTAGAAAGCCTCATCTTTCTCTTGTGGAGGGGCTGGTGGTTTTGAACTGCTGACCCTGTGGTTAGCAACCCAATGCCTAACCCACTATGCCACCAGTGAGTATTTTTATAATACTAGAATTTGAAGACTTTTACAAAGAATTAAACAAAAATAAAAATTCACACATAAAACAGCCATTATTTGACTATATAAAATGCTTAAATAGCAAAGCACCAAAAAGAAAACAGAGATAAAAAATAATTTTTTAAAAAACTGGAAATTAAAAGTTGATATAGAAAAGGTTTTCAAATCAGTAAGAAAGAAAAAACTCTCAAAAGAAACAAGAGAGGAGAGTGTTATAGATGGAATATGTTCCCCAAACATGTGCTGGTCCTAACCTCTGATATCCGTGGATGGAACCCCAGTTAGGTATAGGGTTTCTCTTACGCTAGTGGTAGCTAACGCTGATTTCCTTATGCTAACGTGAGATGTGAGCAATACATGGTGTTTCTTAAACCCGTCACTTTTGAGATATGAAAAAAGCAGATGAAGCACAGAAGCAAACAAGCCCAGACAAAAAGCTGGAAAGAGACACGGTCCTTCCCCCAGAGCTGATAGAGAAGCAGCCTTCCTTCCCCCAGCGCTGGTGCCCTGCACTGGGACTTCCCGCTTCCTCGGGGTGAGCACAGTTCTGCTTGTGCAAGCCACCTACTCTCAAAGTCTTTCTGCTGCAGCATGTACACTAGACAAGGGAGGCAGGGAACCAAACTCTCACAGGGACCCTACAGGGCAGGAGAGAGACGCTTCTCACACTCTACGCAGCCAGAGGCCTCGTTCTTGCACGGAGCACCAGATGGTTTAAACTGCCGACTGCGTGGTTAGCAGCCCGACGCAGCCTCCACGCCACCAGGGCTCCTTGTGAAGGTAGAGACGAACAAGGGATTCACAGAAGAACAAAAGGTGGCCAGTCGGCATATACAAAGCTGTTCAGTCCCCTAATAAGCACAGAAAAACGATCTGATGAAAGGGTTCACCGTTCGCACCAGGGAAGAGTGATTGAAAGCTTGACAAGACACACTCAGGGAAGGGTGGAGGCCAGAAAGCCTTGTCAGCTACCCAGTGACCACTTTTCTGGGGCGTGGCAACGTGGTGATGGGACTGAGAACTGAAAGCGGCTCTTTCACGTGTTGCCCCTGAAACCGCAACCCAGCCCCGCGAGGTGACCCTACACCTGGATCTCGTGGGTGGAGGGAGGAGCAGTGTGGCTACATGAATGCCGGACGCGTACCACGGCTCCCGAAAGTGTGTGATGGCATCGCGAGATGCTCACCGCGTGTGAGCAAGAAGCTGCTTTCAGAAAGACCTGTGAGAGAGGGAGGGAGGGAGTGTGTGTGTGTGTGTGTGTGTGTATCTCTAAGAAAAGATCCCTGGAAGGAGGTACCATCTATAAATGGTAGAAATTGTGTAGCTTTTCTGGAGTGACCAGGTTACTGCCCACTGCATCCCCAATGAGCAGGAATTATTTTTTGAAAAAACATTAGCTACATAAGCCATCTGAATTTTGATAAAAATATATCTGAAAGGTTGATGTAAAAATGCACATTGTGAACCTTATTTGTACTACCCTGGCTAACAGGTGTGGCCTAGTTACAGGCTGGGCGGAGGACGCCCTGTGACCCCAGCCCTCACAAAGGTGGTGACAGAGGGCCGCTCCGGGACCCTGCTTTCCAGCAACAATGGGGCAGACTGAGGGTGGACTGCCTACCACCGTCCTTAACATCCATCTCAGGACCCTCGAGTGCTTTCCTCGAGCCACAGTCAGACTTGTGCCCTCACCTGGTGAGCAGCGGTTCCCAATCCCCCAGATGGCACTGCCGGCCGGCCTCTGTCCCCACAGGGGAGCTCTGGCAGCAGGGACCTTGGCTGGCATTTGTCGTCTCATCCAACTGCCAAGCAGGCTTCCAGGAACTCGTTATGTAAGGAAGCCGGGGCGGCTGGGACTGCACCCACCTGATGCAGAGGCTGCAGGGGCCGAGCACGAAGCACACGCACCCATGCCCATGCTCACACGCTAACCCCTCCTTCGGTCTGGAAATGAGGACCCCAGTCTTTGTGGAAATGACTTGTGTCCACGTCTAATGAAACTAGAAGCATTATCGAATGACCGCTACTGTAACTCGGAGAACAAGACAGCTGGCCTTGAACAGGTCGAGCAGCTGAGTTTGGAAAACAACTCTGTCATGAGACACTCCTGGCTCCCTCCAGTTCCACGGCTGACCCGGAGTACAGTGCCCAGATCGAGCTCGGGCACCACCGGGGTGAGCCCGTTCTCCCACGTGACCCATCAGGACCAGCCTCCATGGTGAGCCAGGAAGGGCCTGCGTGCAGGGAGGGCCTCCCTCCTCCCGAGCCCTCTCTGGGGCCCTGAGAGAACAGCCGAGAAGTTGCCACTCCGCAGGCATCTTCCGGAGGCCGAGACCAGGCAGACATTTAACCAGTGGGGCACTGGACCTCTGAGAGACCGGCAGCACCGTGGACAGGGGTCAACGAAGGGAAGAAACCCAACCCAGGCTGGGAGAAGCAGACACAGCAAATGGCCCCTTCTGGGGATTCAGAAGAAAACCTGCTCCTCGACTTCCAGGGCTAAGGAGCCCGGTACGCGGCTCCAGCCCGGCATGCTAACCAAAACACGGAGGGGGGGCGGGGCGGGGGACACCCACGAGTCGCTCTGTGGGGAAAGTTGTGGCCACGTCTGCTTCCCGAAGGCTTCACATCCTTGGCACCTCGGGGGGCAGTCCACGTCATGGCAGTGGGCACTCAAAGGGAGAAGAGCCAAAGGAGGTAACGTGAAAGGCAGGCGGTGGCCGAGCCCACGCGGACGACCACACCCGAGCCTCTCGGAGGGCCCGCCTGAGTGGCACTGAGCAGACCTGCTCAGTGCTTGTCCTGGGGGTCAGCCTTAGGGACGTAGAGGGCGAGTCACCAACACTTAAGCTAGCAGTCCCCTCACCCAGGGACGACGGCCATGGTGAGCCCCTCAAGAGCGAGGCTTGAAGAGTGAGGAGGCTGCCCAACCTCGAGGCAGGGAGGACGGGGGGCAGGGAGCAGCCTGGTGGTGTTCCCTGGGGCCGGCAGGCCATCTGACCAGGACACAGAGCTACAGGAAAGTAAGGTGCCCCTCAGGCCCTCACATGTGAGCCCAAAGTAAGATTCCCAATGTCCCCGTGCTCACTGAGACTAATATTAGCAGCGGCAGCAGCAGCGACAACCTAAACGTAACATTGTGTCTACATTTTTAAACCCATTCAATTATTCCGTTTCCCGAGAGCACGATGATACAGAAGGGAGCACGGGGCTGAGACTCGGCTGGCCTGAATCGCACTGTCCGATCTGTGGGGAGAGAGCAGGGTGGACTTGGTCAGCACAACCTCACCGCACCCCGGAGGTCCTCAAGCCCACCCTCCCCACACACACCACCCACCCACCCCCGGAAACCCAATGTCTCAGCTGTAATTTACCACTGGTCTGCTGTTCCACTGCGATGGCCCTGGCTTGGGGTTTGTGTGGTTGTTCTGTTTTGCTTCAAAGTCGGCTCCGGCTCCACAATCCTTCAGTGCGAACAGGAGAGACCAACAGCAACCCCCACTCCTAGAAACCTCGCGTCCCCATGGCCACTGACCGGAAGGGAGCGAGGAGGGAAAACAGACGCCGCCGTCCACACTATGACCGTCTGCGCATCCACCCCCCTCCCGGGGACCGGCAACCACCACGTGGCTTCCATCCACTAACTTGTTCGAACCTCCGGGACAAGGACTCTGCTTTCTTAGTTTACAGAAGCAGCAGGTCATCTGAGGGGTGGTCTACCTGGAGGCAGGCAGAGACAGCAGCAAGGAGAACAAGCTACTGCCAGGGGGGACTGGTGCTGGGGGGCAACAGTGAGCTGAAACATGCGATGGCGGCCTGGGCATCTAAGTCTGGGTCATTCACAGCGAGAGAACACCCGCACTGTCCCTCAACACTGCAATGCAACCACAATAACCATGCGAGTCGCCATACGGAATAAGCTAACCACACTTAAGTGATTCAGGGTCATACTGTGGGGTAGGAGGGCGGGGAAGTATTTCACAAGGATGTCCTTTTTTTTTTTTTTAATTTGGCATTTGAAAGCACAGTCTTAGTTGTGTGTTTTTCAAATTCACTAACGTGAAACAGTTCACCCCCACCCCCCATCACACATACTCAGGTTAGTCAAAAAGCCCGATAAGTAAGCGAAATGTCAGAACGTTTTAACATTTAGCTCCACATCTTAGCCCCATTTAAAAGAGGAGGTGACTAAGCACTACACCCCTGTTGTCGGCTGATGGTGTCACAGTAGGACAATAAAGGCTCATTGTCTCGCTTGAGCACAAGCCGCTGGGCTCCTTCCAGGTCCTGAGCACACCAGGCTCTCTCGTCCCAGGGCCTCTGAACAGGCTGGGAACAAAATAACCACTGCCACGGAGTGGATGCTGACTCACAGCCACCCTCTAGCCTAGGCAGAACTGCCCGTGTGGGTTTCGGAGGCTGGAACTTTATGGGAACAGAAAGCCTCAAGTTTCTCCCTGGCCTGGGACACTCCTGGAAAAATCCTCATAGTCAGGCATCCTTTGAGCTGTTTCTCAGCAAGGCGTTCCTAATTCCCCAGAATGAAACTACCTCTACGACTCTCCTGCCGTGTTTGGGCCGGGTCCAGACCATGCATCCGCCTCCCCCAGCTCTCCTGAAAGATAGCCTGCTGGACTGTGTGGCCCCTTCCCAATGCCTCTCAAGGGCACAGCTGGACTGTGCAGTCCCTGCCCCCAGCATTCCAAGGAGCTTATCTCTCCAGGCCGGGTCAGTACAGCCCCTTCCCTCAGTGGTCCGGGATGATTTACTCACAGACCACGTCCTGACTCAGACCTGCACCTGCAGCCCCAGAAGGCCCTCCTTCCCCTCATCAGTACATACGTCCTTGGCTCAAGCCCTACATGTGTCCCACTGCCTCACTGCCAGGCACCACTTCCCTGACCTAACTCGTTGGGTCTCGGAACCCGCCCAGGGGCTCAAGATGCCCCCGCCCCTTTCTCTGCTCTCCCTTCCCTCCCGGGAGTTCTTTTCCTGCCTCAATAAAATCTTTCTCAACTTCACGTTCCTGGCTAAATTCTATCTCTGTTCTGCGCCTGTCTCCAACCTCTTATCTTGGTGCTGAAAGACCCAGGAGCGACAGGAAGGGCCTCTGTGCTGCCCCAGCCCTCCTCTGGCCAGTGCGCAGGCCCGTCCTCGTTTTCAACGTCTCCTGCGGTGCACTTACTTCTTCTTAGTCCTTGTTGAATAGTGATGTGTTGAATGCCCATCTTGTCTACTAGTCCGTATGCTCTTAAAAAAACAGGGATAATCTTGTCTAATCTGTTCCACAACAGTTCATTGTTACACACTCTTAAGCACCCAGTACAATGACTTAACAGGTGATAGGAATGCAATTACTGAGCAACAATAGTGTGTAACTTTTACAGAGTACTTCCTAAATACCCGGGTGAGTCAAAAAGTATTGCTACTGACTTGTACAAACCCTTATTGAAGTATCAGAGCATGAGAGGAGCCCTGGTGGCGGAACGGTTACACTTTGGCTATTAACGGCAAGGTCAGCAGTTTGAAACCAACAGCCACTCTGCAGTAAAAAAGACAAGGCCTTCTCCTGTGACGAGCTAGAGTCTCAGACATGCACCAGCATACTGCTCTGTCTTACAGGCCCGTTAGAGTCGGAATCAACTCCAGGGCAGTGAGTGAGGGGTTGTTGTTTCTCAATCACAACATGAAGCGGTTGTTTCTTGCCCCGTCCTCCCTCTAAGCCTGTATACTTCTGAAGCTGGTGCTTCCAGCTCTCTGCCCTTTCCCAAAGAATTCCGCACGCTGGGACGGACACCACAACAAAATGGCAGCTTTAGCATCTCAAGGGACTCTGACCATATTCATTGTAAATGCTCCTTGAGTTTTAAGGATGTAAAAAAATCTAAGGGGCAAGGATCAAGGCTGCAGGAGAGGTGGGGCCAGGTTTCTCAAAGAAATCCTCATAGGACAAAAGATAAACAAATTTAAAAAAATAATTAAATAAATACATGAGTAGAAGGAAATGCTCACAGGACAGACCTTGCTAGGGCTGTCAACTCGAAGGAGGCCAGGTGCGCTGTCGTGATAAAGAAGCTTCTCAGGACACCTCTTTTGACTGACATCTCCTCAGTGCGCGGTTCCATTTTCTCATCATTTCTCCACCCACCATCACCCCACGTTCAAGGAAATCAATCATTCTTGTTGCTCCGTGCCATTGAACTGGCTCTGTCCTATGAGCCCAGTGTGCAGCAGACTCAGACCACACCCAGCCCAGGGGCTCCCGCACATCCAAGCCCACTGTTGCAGCCACCATGCCAGCTCATCCTGCTGAGGGGCTTCCTCGTTTTCACCAAGCATGACCTCCTTGTCCAGGTCCTGATGACGTGACCAAAGTATGCGAGGCACCCACCAGGACCTTTGTAGCTGATCTCTCTGCCTTGCATGGAACAAGGCCCAGCAGATCCCCTCTGGAGTTCCTGTGTTGGCTAGACCTTGCTCTCTGGGTCATCTTGGTAAATCCGACATTCATCCCTGATTATGACCAGGACTATAAAATCATCTTCCTTAATTTCGAGCTTGCATAAAAGACTGGTGGAAAAATCAGCTCTGAGGATGAAAATAACAAGAATCCAGAGTTTGTAATTCTAATAAACTAAGGCAGAGTGGAGGTGAAGAAAATTTGTTATTAAGGTACCAGCGGTCTTATTTTCTTGAAATTATTTATAACTATTTGCAAAGAACAACATATACTTAAACCTATTCAAGTCGGATGGCAGGGCTCTCATGATGGGGCAGGGACGTGCACAGCTTCAAGCAGGACACTCAGAAAACGAGCCTCTCCCTCATCCAGCCCTTTTTAAAAACCTCCTGAGTCTGAGGACATACGTAGTACACAGTTCTTTTGTGTGTGTGTGTGTGTGTGTGTGTGTGTTATGGGAATTAGTTTCTTTCTTTTTTTTAATCATTTTATTAGGGGCTCATACAACTCTTATCACAATCCATACACACATCAATTGTGTAAAGCGCATTTGTACATTCATTGCCCTCATCACTCTCAAAACATCTCCTCTCCACCTAAGCCCCCAGGCATTAGGTCCCCATTTACCCCCTCCCTCCCTGCTCCCCCTCCCTCATGAGCCTTTGATAATTTATAAATTGTTATTTTGTCATACCTTGTCCTGTCCGACATCTCCCTTCACGTCTCCCTTCACCCACTTTCCGGCCGGCCGGCCCCCAGGGAGGAGGTCACATATAGTTCATTGTAATCGGTTCTCTTTCCTACCCTCTCCCTCTACCCTCCCTGTTTCGCCACTCACACCACTGATCCTGTAGGGCTCATCCGCCCTGGATTCCCTTTATTTCCAGTTCCTATCTGTACCAGTGTACATCCTCTGGTCTAGCCAGACTTGC